ACTAAGTTTTGAAATATATCTTTATGAGAACTTTAAACTTTTGAATGTTCCAAAACCAATCTAACGCTAAAAATTCAACCTATAACTAACCGAGAATTAGTGAAACAATGGATCATGTCTAAAAGTACATACGAGTGCCCACGAGTGCCCACGAATGACCACGAGTGCCCACGAATGACCACGAGTGACCACGAGTTCGTGGTCACTCGTGGTCACTCGTATGTACTTTTAGACACGATCGAAACAATGATATAGCTTTCCGAGAACGCTGCAAACTAGTGTGAAAATAAAATATCAATGATATTATGGATCTTGGATATGAAATCACCTACAAATGTATTTTTCAGTGCAGATCATTGCCATGTTAGTTTTATCACTGCACCGTCTGAGTAAAATGATTTTTTAAAAGGGTTCAAATGCACTTTAAGGTCCTTTCATAGCTTCATAACTAAACAATCTTAATTTAAACATGTCTATACTTAAAACATTCTAAAACAAGGCACTTTATATGATAGTCTATGCTATATTAAATATCTGTTTCTTCGTAGAGGTTTTCCTCCTCTTTAGTACGAGTTCCCTCGGATTGGCATACGGTGCATTCGACATCTTGTTTGGATGTGGGACGTACACTGACTGAAAAAATRAATGAATGAATGAATGATTAAAAAAATGAGAACTTGATGAATAGTTGTAAGGTAAAAAACTTCGATATAAAGCTCTAGCTTTAAGGCATTGCTCATTCGTAATGCGAGATACTTCCATCTATCTTCTCTTATTGTCGTTGAATAGTTATACAAACAGGAAGCAGGGGACGGATTCTGGATTTTCCACAGGAAAGGTGTGCACCCAACAAAAATCATTACTATTGAAGATACAAAATAAGGGAAGTATAAGGAGTGCACCCCTGCACCACCCACCCACCAAGTGGATCCCCCCTGGATAGGGTAAATCCAATTAATAGGGCGAACAGGCGACCATTTTTAGTCATTYATTGATTTAATTACCGTTATAGATGCAGTACTTGTTTAGCTTCCAACGAAGAAGATCGCGTACAGCAATCACTACTACAATAAGAACTCCAATCACAGGCAAGTAGAAGCAAAAACGATCTGAGAAGAAAAACAATCATCGCGGTAATCCCAGGCCTAATTATGGACACATTTCATTTCTCTAGACCTCAATGGGTGCAGAATTTATAAATGTGCCAAGCCCCTTTCAAAATATTTGGTCTGTCACTGATTTCTTATTTCTTATCTTCAAAAACATTGATGAAAAACTCCAATTTAACATCAAACACAAAAATACGGGCAAATATCACTAAAGCCCATTCAGACCCTCTTGTATACCATGATCAAATAACTGATCTCATGGTACAGAATTGTATCTAATTAACAATTAGACCTCGAGGTCGAGTGGACTACGAGCTAATAGCCCATGAGGCCGAGTCAGTGAGGCCGAATGGGCTATTACCTTGTAGTCCACGAGGCAGAGAGGTCTAATTGTTTTAGTATAAACATACTAATCCGTCAAATAATGAAAACAAATTGAAATATCCTTAAGATAATTCATTAATGAGATGCCGCCATTTTGATTTTCCCGCGAGTGGTCTATCACAAATTWGAMYATTAGTWGAGTARYYAATCACAGCGCAGTATGAGTGATAGACCATTAGTATGTTTATACTAATGTTTGGTAACCCTGCTCTGCCCTACTATAAGACCACTACTAGTAATCAAAATCCACATACAAATCATCTCACCACTGATCATAGGTACAGGATCACTTATGTACATCTTCTTTTCTGTCGCTTGTGTTGTTGTCTGACTTGTCCAAACAGTATAAGAAGTAACTGGTTGCTTGTCTTTGCCTTCYGTGGACTTCATAAAACTTGTTGGTGCTGTCAGTTTTGTAKGCATCAGGTTTTCTTGGAYGATGTTCTCTRTAAAATAAAATAGTAGTGCTGTTATAGTTATAACATGTCATACTACTCTCTTCTTTATCTCAAACTGTTTTCAATAAATTACAGAACTTTCCATACTCAGGTCCAGTGACCACAAACAAACCCCCAGGGGTGTGCCGCTGGGACCTCAAAACCCTGACCCTGTTCCAGAGAAAATTCCTTGTAATCGATACACTGTTCCAGAGTAAAATYGCTGAAAACKATACCCWGTTCCAGAGTAAAATTGCTGAAAACGATACCCTGTTCCAGAGTAAAATCCAGCACTAGCYTGCGTGTAGACCGAATTTTTACCCCGTAAATTTTTACCCAGCATCAATAAAAAACATTTGTTGTAATCGATACCCAGTTCCAGAGTAAAATCACTAAAAACCATACTCTGGTTGGCAGCAYGTCCCCGTATAGCGAATATAGGGGAGGCTTCAAGGTACAGTGAGCATAAAGAAATGATCTGTGGTCAGTGTTCCTTGATGCCTCAGCTCAATGTTTTTTTGTGGTCAATGAACCTGAGTATGGAAAATTGTGAAAACATGGTTTATAATGTCTCTATACTGCAAGTGAAATCATTGGCAATGCTCATCATGGTACTGTCTATTATAGCATACGTCGACCATACGTCATTATTTCATTGACCCACTAAAGTCCTCACCATGGAATAGAAATGAAACTCTTCCTACCTTTATAAAACAGGTTTTTGTTACAGTCTTTTGTCATCTCACTTGAGCAACATGTGATTGTTTTGTTGAATGTCTTTGGTAAATATTTTTTGCCACACCTATGACAACATGTGTGCAAAGTAAGAACAATTGTACCATCCAAATAAACTTATTGTGATGACTGACTGATTTACATGTAATGACAATGATACTCAAGGGGCCACGAGAGAGTCAGGGGGGTCTGGACTTCCCTGTCAAATCTTAGCTCAAATGTTATTTTTATTAACAAGTATAACCTAAAATTAAGATAAAACCTTTTTTTCTAAGAGTAAGTACTAACAAAACAAATTTCTTGATGAGGTTGGGCTTCCTGTGGTAAAATGCACCTTCCCCTTACCCCTCCCCCCTTTGAAAATGTTCTTAAGCTTGATTTCATCTATATTTTGGAATTKTAATCAGGAAGACGGCAATCATCAAAGTGTAGCCCCAGGGAAGATAAATATTTGTTAATCACTCCTGATGATGACAATGATTAATGATGATGATGATTATTGTGACTGGATGATAATATATTGGTGGTTAGTGTTGTGATGCAGTCATACGATAGCAACATATTGTCTATCACAAGTCCGTCTTTACTATTTACTTACTGCTGTGGYAGGCAATGAARATATGCCYTYATTGCAAAACAYCCCTTGAACTTAACCATATATGGTACTTGGTTGCSAACAAGCAACGGTGATTTGTACACGGTGTAGCAAATGAACACAATGTTCTCAGTGTTGGTAGTCTCGTTAGAAGATGTCATGTTGATTTTGTGCAAACACGCCAGCATAGCCGTGGAATTC